TAAAATGTTTGATGGACTTTCAAATTACCGATGGCAGAGCAATGCTATTAAAATATGTAACATGTTACGAAGTGGCAAGATGGCATAAGCACTGAAGCTTTATATGCATACAATATTTCTGGCAGCCAGGCAGCAGTATGCTATGTAACGGAAATTAAACCAGCAGAGCCGGAAATGTGGCTTAGTCTTTCCTCTATCAAATTATCCTGGTTGTGCAATTTTATAAAGAGATACACAATACCTTTTCCTGCATATATAGACAAAGAGAACATTTCTGAAAAATATTGAAATAGGCCAGAGGCAATGAACAATCTCTCATTGTTATCTTGGCTCTGCCACGTCGATCATTCTCCAGCTGTTCCAAAACTGTACAAACAAGGTAGCACACTGGTTGGTTTAAAAACAGTTTCTTTTTTATAAAGGAATACATTTTCTGACACATTTTAATGCATGTTCCCCATCATAGTATTTCAGATTTGAAACATCCTAACCATGAAAATGTACCAAATGACTTCCAGGTGGTATGCAGCAGCTACGCATCATCTGCCAGAGTTTTGGCAAAACACCGAAAATATTAATTTCTATTTACCTAGTAAAGAAGAGTATATAACAACCGCTTTGTCATACATTAATACATTGTCAGACGCCTTTTATATGTGGCAAACACGCATAATTCCACTAACATGGTTAAACTTTGATTTGCAAAATGAAACTACGACTCTTTTGTTAGATACAAATCAGCTGTCTGTTCAAAACCATGTATTGAGATCGGTCAGGCAACACAAGGAACACTTGACGACCTTTGCGCCAAGTGAATACCTTGACAATGACGCCGAGTTTGTTTCCGGTTTGGACGCTGATGACGAATTTTCGCCAATGGATGCTTCTTCTCCTGTCTTTCGTTGTTGTCATGGTTTTCCGCGAAATACATGGAGCAAACCGATTAAAGTTACTGGTGGTGGTGGCTGTGGTAAGTCATACACTATTCGCTCAATTGTGAATGAGTATTTAAATATTTGAGTATTGAACATTTTGAAATACAACCTAAAAATTATAGACAAATTATCAATGATTCCTGAGACTATATTCCAACACATTTTGAAAACATTAAATCTACTTTTATTTAGACCTGCACTTGTGCTTTGTGGAGATTGCGCTCAACAACAACCGTTTTCAAAACATAATGTAAGAATCATGCGACTTCCAAGTCCATTTACTAATAAGCATTTTATTTCCACAACCTATCGATATAATTTACTGGGTCAACATCGCGTTGGTAACGCCCAATATCTTAAGTTCTTAAATTATGTCAAGATGATATAGTTACAGATGAAGACATATTCCTTACCTGTGTGATGCGAAAACATCTTCCCTACCAATACCCTAACTGTGGTATCATCCTTCTTGGGGACTATAACGGCATAGAAATATCTCTCCTGTCAGCAAGACATAATTTAAAGCAAGTCGACAAAGCCCCCAAAACAGGTTCATCAATCCTCGACCTCATCACTACTCCTACCACCACTTGGATCATCCGACCATAATATCTTACTATTGGGCCGCTCGTTACATAATTCTAGCCATTGTACTATAATATTCCGTAAAATTATTCCGTTATGCCTAAGATGATTTACTGCAGATGATATTACAATTTCAAGACCATTCTATTTATTTTTGGAAGAACATGAGCACCACCAGCATGGTGATAAAGTCAAATGTTGTCGTATAAAATTAAGACCATCACCACAGTCTGTAAATGACAAAATTAATAAGTTGACCGACCCAACTCAAAAAATTTGTTAATCACATTTTCTTCAATTACGTGGCAGCGTAATTCATGAGAACGAAAGTTTAAATCTATTTAATTTTAAAGAAACAGAAAGAATTGAATGTGCCCTTTGGCCAAGTTTGTATCCGCTTACGAAATGGTGTGAAAGTGCGATTTCCAATAACAATTGCAACCTAGCACGAAATTGTCATTCAACATCAAATTACATTCGCAAAATAATTGACTATGGTCTACACTTTGAGTTATTTCAGTATGACAGATGGCTGTTTAAAACTACAAGTGGAGCAATTAACACTACCCAGTTACTAAAATGCTCACCAACACAGTCTTTGAACATGAAATCCTTTTCACCAACGTTTTGGCAATGGCAACATTGCTTTGTCTTAGACGCCGTAGATCAATATGGTCTCCCAGATGTATTTATAATATTAACCCATATGAATGGTCATTCCTGTTTCCGTCATGGATAGAAAGAATTAGACAGCAAACAGGAAAAGGACCAACTAAGTTAGCAGGTCACAAAACTTCTTACATTGTCAATATATTAATCCAAATTGTCAGAGGCTATTTATGCAGATCAAATAGCCAAAAATGGTCGAATCATGTTTTTAATTATAGTGGTAATGCTAAAAAAAAAAATATTAAGACCTTTTTTTATCGTTGCAAGTTTCAGGAAAGGGGAACCATACACCTTCATTTGCCTGTGTGGTTAAAGGATTTTAGCAAGATGCAACATTGTTTAATAAGCAGAGATTTTCCAAATGACAACCCTGATTTATGCTATCTTATAAAAAAATATAAGCTATCAGATAAACCTACCTGCTTCTTTTTTAAATCTGCAAGAAGCAGAAACATATTTTGAATATAAAAATAGCAATACCATTTTACTTTGTAAACATTCAGCTGAGGCATTTGCTCTTAATTTAAAAGCTTACATTTCAACTGTTTTACCAATGTTAAAATGTTTGATGGACTTTCAAATTACCGATGGCAGAGGAATGCTATTAAAATATGTAACATGTTACGAAGTGGCAAGATGGCATAAGCACTGAAGCTTTATATGCATACAATATTTCTGGCAGCCAGGCAGCAGTATGCTATGTAACGGAAATTAAACCAGCAGAGCCGGAAATGTGGCTTAGTCTTTCCTCTATCAAATTATCCTGGTTGTGCAATTTTATAAAGAGATACACAATACCTTTTCCTGCATATATAGACAAAGAGAACATTTCTGAAAAATATTGAAATAGGCCAGAGGCAATGAACAATCTCTCATTGTTATCTTGGCTCTGCCACGTCGATCATTCTCCAGCTGTTCCAAAACTGTACAAACAAGGTAGCACACTGGTTGGTTTAAAAACAGTTTCTTTTTTATAAAGGAATACATTTTCTGACACATTTTAATGCATGTTCCCCATCATAGTATTTCAGATTTGAAACATCCTAACCATGAAAATGTACCAAATGACTTGCAGGTGGTATGCAGCAGCTACGCATCATCTGCCAGAGTTTTGGCAAAACACCGAAAATATTAATTTCTATTTACCTAGTAAAGAAGAGTATATAACAACCGCTTTGTCATACATTAATACATTGTCAGACGCCTTTTATATGTGGCAAACACGCATAATTCCACTAACATGGTTAAACTTTGATTTGCAAAATGAAACTACGACTCTTTTGTTAGATACAAATCAGCTGTCTGTTCAAAACCATGTATTGAGATCGGTCAGGCAACACAAGGAACACTTGACGACCTTTGCGCCAAGTGAATACTTTGACAATGACGCCGAGTTTGTTTCCGGTTTGGACGCTGATGACAAATTTTCGCCAATGGATGCTTCTTCTCCTGTCTTTCGTTGTTGTCATGGTTTTCCGCGAAATACATGGAGCAAACCGATTATAGTTACTGGTGGTGGTGGCTGTGGTAAGTCATACACTATTCGCTCAATTGTGAATGAGTATTTAAATTTTTGAGTATTGAACATTTTGAAATACGACCTAATAATATTATAGACAAATTATCAATGATTCCTGAGACTATATTCCAACACATTTTGAAAACATTAAATCTACTTTTATTTAGACCTGTACTTGTGCTTTGTGGAGATTGCGCTCAACAACAACCATTTTCAAAACATAATGTAAGAATCATGCGACTTCCAGGTCCATTTACTAATAAGCATTTTATTTCCACAACCTATCGATATAATTTACTGGGTCAACATCGCATTGGTAACGCCCAATATCTTAAGTTCTTAAATTATGTCAAGATGATATAGTTACAGATGAAGACATATTCCTTACCTGTGTGATGCGAAAACATCTTCCCTACCAATACCCTAACTGTGGTATCATCCTTCTTGGGGACTATAACGACATAGAAATATCTCTCCTGTCAGCAAGACATAATTTAAAGCAAGTCGACAAAGCCCCCAAAACAGGTTCATCAATCCTCGACCTCATCACTACTCCTACCACCACTTGGATCATCCGACCATAATATCTTACTATTGGCCCGCTCGTTACATAATTCTAGCCATTGTACTATAATATTCCGTAAAATTATTCTGTTATGCCTAAGATGGTTTACTGCAGATGATATTACAATTTTAAGACCATTCTATTTATTTTTGGAAGAACATGAGCACCACCAGCATGGTTATAAAGTCAAGTGTTGTCGTATAAAATTAAGACCATCACCACAGTCTGTAAATGACAAAATTAATAAGTTGACCGACCCAACTCAAAAAACTTGTTAATCACATTTTCTTCAATTACGTGGCAGCGTAATTCATGAGAACGAAAGTTTAAATCTATTTAATTTTAAAGAAACAGAAAGAATTGAATGTGCCCTTTGGCCAAGTTTGTATCCACTTACGAAATGGTGTGAAAGTGCGATTTCCAATAACAATTGCAACCTAGCACGAAATTGTCATTCAACATCAAATTACATTTGCAAAATAATTGACTATGGTCTACACTTTGAGTTATTTCAGTATGACAGATGGCTGTTTAAAACTGCAAGTGGAGCAATTAACACTACCCAGTTACTAAAATGCTCACCAACACAGTCTTTGAACATGAAATCCTTTTCACCAACGTTTTGGCAATGGCAACATTGCTTTGTCTTAGACGCCGTAGATCAATATGGTCTCCCAGATGTATTTATAATATTAACCCATATGAATGGTCATTCCTGTTTCCGTCATGGATAGAAAGAATTAGACAGCAAACAGGAAAAGGACCAACTAAGTTAGCAGGTCACAAAACTTCTTACATTGTCAATATATTAATCCAAATTGTCAGAGGCTATTTATGCAGATCAAATAGCCAAAAATGGTCGAATCATGTTTTTAATTATAGTGGTAATGCTAAAGAAAAAATATTAAGACCTTTTTTTATCGTTGCAAGTTTCAGGAAAGGGGAACCATACACCTTCATTTGCCTGTGTGGTTAAAGGATTTTAGCAAGATGCAACATTGTTTAATAAGCAGAGATTTTCCAAATGACAACCCTGATTTATGCTATCTTATAAAAAAATATAAGCTATCAGATAAACCTACCTGCTTCTTTTTTAAATCTGCAAGAAGCAGAAACATATTTTGAATATAAAAATAGCACTAGCATTTTACTTTGTAAACATTCAGCTGAGGCATTTGCTCTTAATTTAAAAGCTTACATTTCAACTGTTTTACCAATGTTAAAATGTTTGATGGACTTTCAAATTACCGATGGCAGAGCAATGCTATTAAAATATGTAACATGTTACGAAGTGGCAAGATGGCATAAGCACTGAAGTTTTATATGCATACAATATTTCTGGCAGCCAGGCAGCAGTATGCTATGTAACGGAAATTAAACCAGCAGAGCCGGAAATGTGGCTTAGTCTTTCCTCTATCAAATTATCCTGGTTGTGCAATTTTATAAAGAGATACACAATACCTTTTCCTGCATATATAGACAAAGAGAACATTTCTGAAAAATATTGAAATAGGCCAGAGGCAATGAACAATCTCTCATTGTTATCTTGGCTCTGCCAGGTCGATCATTCTCCAGCTGTTCCAAAACTGTACAAACAAGGTAGCACACTGGTTGGTTTAAAAACAGTCTCTTTTTTATAAAGGAATACATTTTCCGACACATTTTAATGCATGTTCCCCATCAAAGTATTTCAGACTTGAAACAGCCTAACCATGAAAATGTACCAAATGACTTGCAGGTGGTATGCAGCAGCTATGCATCATCTGCCAGAGTTTTGGGAAAACACCGAAAATATTAATTTGTATTTACCTAGTAAAGAAGAGTATATAACAACCGCTTTGTCATATATTAATACATTGTGAGACGCCTTTTATATGTGGCAAACATGCATAATTCCACTAACATGGTCAAACTTTGATTTGCAAAATGAAACTACGACTATTTTGTTAGATACAAATCAGCTGTCTGTTCAAAACCATGTATTGAGATCGGCCAGGCAACACAAGGAACACTTGACGACCTTTGCGCCAAGTGAATACCTTGACAATGACGCTGAGTTTGTTTCCGGTTTGGACGCTGATGATGAATTTTCGCCAATGGATGCTTCTTCTCCTGTCTTTCGTTGTTGTCATGGTTTTCCGCCAAATACATGGAGCAAACCGATTATAGTTACTGGTGGTGGTGGCTGTGGTAAGTCATACACTATTCGCTCAATTGTGAATGAGTGTTTAAATATTTGAGTATTGAACATTTTCAAATACGACCTAATAATTATAGACAAATTATCAATGATTCCTGAGACTATATTCCAACACATTTTGAAAACATTAAATCTACTTTTATTTAGACCTGTACTTGTGCTTTGTGGAGATTGCGCTCAACAACAACCGTTTTCAAAACATAATGTAAGAATCATGCGACTTCCAAGTCCATTTACTAATAAGCATTTTATTTCCACAACCTATCGATATAATTTACTGGGTCAACATCGCGTTGGTAACGCCCAATATCTTAAGTTCTTAAATTATGTCAAGATGATATAGTTACAGATAAGACATATTCCTTACCTGTGTGATGCAAAAACATCTTCCCTACCAATACCATAACTGTGGTATCATCCTTCTTGGGGACTATAACGACATAGAAATATCTCTCCTGTCAGCAAGACATAATTTAAAGCAAGTCAACAAAGCCCCCAAAACAGGTTCATCAATCCTCGACCTCATCACTACTCCTACCACCACTTGGATCATCCGACCATAATATCTTTCTATTGGCCCGCTCGTTACATAATTCTAGCCATTGTACTATAATATTCCGTAAAATTATTCCGTTATGCCTAAGATGGTTTACTGCAGATGATATTACAATTTTAAGACCATTCTATTTATTTTTGGAAGAACATGAGCACCACCAGCATGGTTATAAAGTCAAATGTTGTCGTATAAAATTAAGACCATCACCACAGTCTGTAAATGACAAAATTAATAAGTTGACCGACCCAACTCAAAAAACTTGTTAATCACATTTTCTTCAATTACGTGGCAGCGTAATTCATGAGAACGAAAGTTTAAATCTATTTAATTTTAAAGAAACAGAAAGAATTGAATGTGCCCTTTGGCCAAGTTTGTATCCACTTACGAAATGGTGTGAAAGTGCGATTTCCAATAACAATTGCAAGCTACCATGAAATTGTCATTCAACATCAAATTACATTTGCAAATAATTGACTATGGTCTACATTTTGAGTTATTTCAGTATGACAGATGGCTGTTTAAAACTGTAAGTGGAGCAATTAACACTACCCAATTTCTAAAATGCTCACCAACACACTCTTTGGACATGAAATCCTTTTCACCAACGTTTTGGCAATGGCAACATCGTTTTGTCTTAGACGCCATAGATCAATATGGTCTCCCGGATGTATTTATAACATTAAGCCCATGAATGAATGGTCATTCCTGTTCCTGTTTTTGAAGTTGTAAATTTGTCATATCAATGGATTTGGCATGTTTGATTGTCTGTTGAGACTTGAACTTAAAGTTAAATGAACCTGTAAAAGTGTAAACCCAGTAGGCCAATACACAATATGCTTTTATTTTTATAAAGTCATTGACATTGTGTTGTTTGAATCCGAGTACAATTTATGATGGAACTCCGATGTAAATAATATTTGGGGCGTAAAGATTAAATCTAGGCAAGTCTATTTCCTAAGAGAATTAAAAACTAAAAATAGTGTTCATAAAAATTCCAAACGTTCCTTGTGTGCAATGTATTCACATGACAAGGCACTGCAAACTCTATTCAGGGAAGATAATAGAGTTTCAAAACATTACAATTGCTCCAATAAACCAGTGAATGCAAGCAAGGAGCGATTAGTTTCAGAGTGTTGGACTGTCTTTTTCTGTTCGAGTGTACTCCTACGTTTATTTTGTATCATCAACACTCTGCATGTTGGAGTGGACTATTTAATTAATTATTTATTATGCCGAATATGGTGGAAAATGGTAAAGAAAATGCCTGGAAAAGCAGAGAAAATTAGATCTTTCTCCCTGGAACACGAGAGTATAACTTTGAATGGTGAAAGTCTCGCATCCGCCCTCAGCGAATTCTGTGTCCCTAATTTCAGATATACCAGACCCAATAAAATGCAAGGAACTTAGAATATGTTACCTTAAAAGATCCATCAAATTCCAACCCTTAACAATTGCAGGACACACCCTAGTAATAGTTCAATCCCACAAAACATTAGGCCTAAGCATTCAAAATAATCTGAAATGAGACGTATTCGATCCATAATCGCAAAAGGTTCCAAACGCTTGCACATCGTCAGAATTTTGAGACGTAGCGGTATTCTACCAGGTGACCTCATTAAAATATATTCCGCCCTAATTCGTTCGATTTGGAATACAGTTGCAAAGTTTGGAGTAATTTGTTGCCCCAATACCATTCTATGATGAATTGGAAAGACTGCAAAGACAAGTAATGTGTATCATATTTCCTGGCCATTCCTACGATGAAGCACTGGTGATGGCGAGTTGCGAAAGATTAGATAATAGACAAAAAACAATCTGCGTAAAAAAACTTTGAGGAAAATTATTAAACATGGCCCCCTAAGGGAACATGTGCTGCAAACCAGAGCAACTACTCACCAATATACAACACCAGGAATTCAAATGACTTATCATTATACAAGTGTAGAACAGAACACTTCAAAAACAGCTTCTTCCCAAGCACAATTGCAAAGATAAATAAGTAATTACAAATAGCCAACTCTCCAATCACTTTCTTATTCCATTTTAACTCATTAACGTGCAAGCTGTTACAATGTTTCTACCTCCCAACGCCCAAGCAATATGGCGAATATGTGATTGAATTCAAGAGCTTTCACCAAAATGGCAATATCTCAGAAACAGTTGCATGAAAAAATCTGGTCTTTTCAACCAAATATTATTGATATATGATTGACCAAATTTAGTTTAAATGAACTTGCATACCTATATATATCATTAGTTTTTTCAATGAGAATTTTTATTTGTAAAGCAGCGACACTTTGGTTTTCATGTCACTCATCACCTAAAGGGGCAATATCTCCATACATTTACTTAAAAACCGGAAAAAAAATCATTTACTAAATTAGTACATATCTATATTATAACCAATTTTCATCTATTGGGATATGAATTAGAAAATGTTCAAAAATTATAAAATATACTCCTTTGCTTTTTTTCGGGCACGATGTTTACAACATGAAATTTAGAACAGCTAGCCACTAAGTGTTCAAATTCAACAAAGTGTGCAAGCCAAAACACAGTGCTTGTACATCTTTCAAGTTTTTAATTACTTCAAATATATTTAAAAGGACATATGGTACTAGAATCTATTTATTTTCAATATAAACCAAGGATGGGAAGGTGAGAAAATAGGAATATTCTGAGGTGTTTTAACACAGACAATGACAGCCGACATTTTCAAAGGCAAATTGTGGTGACAAAACCAAAAGCTATTAACCTCTCTACTCAAAGCACTGAAAAACACCATAAAAAGAAAAACATTTTAAACATACATTAGGTAAGACTTTTAGCTCAAAAGCAATGTTGTTGGAAAAGCAACGGTTTTTAGCCAAAATTATTTTGCGTGCCAATGTAGACTGCTATAAAAATGTCAGACACGTGTTCTCTTTTGAAATCTGGCTCTGACAAACAATCGCTTTTTTTTAGGTTGAAATAAGCCTTCATAAGGACTATTGTGTAGAAATGTTATCTATATATATGCTCACATGAAAACGGTAACCTAATATTCAGGTATTCCACATAGCTATAAAAGGGTGAAATAACTTTCATTTTTGGTTGTTTGTCAGACGAGAGAAACCACATTAGTGCCATTTTGTCGTGCATGCTATTTTATAAAATATACACCTCAAAACCATAAACTTTTAGTTCAGAAAATTACAAAGTTTCCCATAGACATTAAAAATGTTCTAGTGAAGCGATTTCATGATAAATAAGCGAGCAATGGGCCCAAAAGGACGGCTAAATTATGTTTTTGTTAGGACTTCAGTTTCATGGCTTCCCGCAAAGGAAGCCATTTCAGAGAGAAGCAACAACAACGGCAAACAACTGTCATGACCAATTTTGATAACTTTTCCTTCTGATTCAACATGCAGTTACTAGAAAATGAGGTTGGATCAACATTACTATCTGCCTTATCGATTTAAAGTTTTATGGGGGATATAAAACCCAATACAAAAAGCATTTTAAAAGCTTTAGAACTCAAGTGCGGACTTTTTGAGAATTTGCACGTGGCAAGCAAGCACATGAATTCAATACACTTATTTCAAACCACAATATGTCTGAAACGAGTTGTCATTTTAAGACTAAATTGATGAAAATAGATATAACAGTGATTTTGGAATATCCTACTTATTTAGTGTAATTTAATACTCGAAGTATTCTTGCCAAATAGGGCACGTACGCACACAGTAATTTAATCTGGTGTCGTTTGAAACATACTTTAGCTAAAATAACAACTTGAACAAGAAGACCAACAATGGGGTCACGAAAAGTCGAAATTGTGGCCAAATTTGCATAAGCAGTTCGTCTAAAAAGATAACTTTAAACTAGATTCAACCAACATTAATGCAGCCGAATTTTGTGAGTGTTTGATCACATATTTCTACTCAGAAATACCCTTTAAAAAATCGTATCTGCTCACTTGTGTTCCGTGTTCATCTTTCTTGTGATTTCCGACTTCTATTTTTTAATAAAATTTGGAGAAATCCTCATCTTTTTGGCTGAAAATCTTGCGCATGGTTCACAGAAGAACTTGGAAAAAAACGTGAATACATTCACTTTCCTTTCATGCCAAATTTTCGTTGTAGATGATTAAAAAATCTTTTCTTTTCTTGCTTTTAAAACTTGCTGTAAAATCTTTCTTTGCAACAGTATCGCCATTATTCATTATTTTTGAAAAACTAAGGTTTTAAACTTGAAAAACTATGCGAGTTTCTGACCGATTTTCTTGCATGATACAACCGTTGAAAAGCTCAAATTCACGTTCTATTTTTGTATCCGTTGCTAGGCAACCCGATAAACACGTGCTCAAATATCATCCCCGCAAGTTAAGGTGTCATGTCAGGGCGCATTGTCTGTTACCCACTTGTCAATCTCAGGGCGCATACGGGCGCATTGGGCGTTAATGAGTTAAATAACTTCTAGCATACCTTTTTATATACCTATGTGTACAATGTAAAATATTTCTTCTTTTTAACTTTCTCAACTTTGTAAACACTTTGTAATTCAAATCTTATTTGTAATAAAAGTGTAAATAAACCATCAATAATAATAAAATCTTGCAAGGATATTATGCCAGCACCTGAAATGATTGTCCTAACTTTTACTAAAACAGCAGCAAACTGTGTAAACAATTTAATAATAAAGACAATATTTCAACAAGAAACTAGCAATTGCGCAGCTTGACTTAGACACACTCAAGAACATTTTCAACTTAGACTTACCACCATTACCCATTTATGCTGGAATGCAAGTAATGATTACTCAAAATAGAGATAAGGCAAAACACGTTGTCAATGACGAGAATCGAAAACCAAACGATTTTTTATTAAACTGGCAAATGAAATAATTGTACCAATTTATCTGGTGGCAATAAAGAAAGATCAGACGTTTTTGGCATACAATGTGAATGAATGAATGTTTTATTAAGACTTGAATGGCAATTTATAAAAATTATAAATTGAAAAACCGAAGTTTCCATGAAACAGTATGTTTATGCAAGACTAATCGTTAAAAAGATCAAAACATTTATATGTACATTAAGTTCAAAATTTAGAGTGTCTCACTATAAAACTGTGTCCCACTTACGAATACAGGACGATAGAAAACTGTCTTTGAAACATTTCTCAATCACTGTGGAAATATCATGTGGATCACAGCATTTCAAATTTATTTTAAATCACATACAAACGTTTAAACAAAAAACAAACTCTCACCCTGTCACAGTACATTTTCATTGTATTGTTGTTTGTGATGACAAATGTTAATACTAGCGATGTACTATTATTAATTGTACATTTGTACAAATAAAATCACTGGTATTCACTGTAATTGAAGCAGCCATTTTTTTATTTTAGGCTGCCTGTTTGCAGGCACGTATTTAAGGGGGACACGACCCGAGTGTTTAACCCACAAACAACGTGATAGCAATGTATCTATGCTTCGCACAGATACAAAAATGGTGCGATTTGAATAAGCTTTGTATAAATATAAAGAAAACTAATTATATGATAGTTAAATCTTCCAATAAAAAAATTACCGAAAATATAAATATTAAAATAACAAGTAAAGATGGAAGAATTTATTGCCTTATGGTGATAAGGGTTATATTCTTTTGCTATAAGGTATGGACAGAATAGAATACAGAAAGTGCCTTTCCGTTTATGAGATTATTAGATATTCTCGATGTCGAATCACTATATAAAATGAAAATTCTTAAGTTTGCTTATTTATGGCAAAGAAGTGCATTACCAGATGTTTTCATGACTATTGTCAGTTTGCTTGTGATGTTTGTATAAACCTCGACCAAGAACTAACACTGGAAAACAGTCTGTATCTTCCATAGTGGTTGATCTCTGGCAAGATCGAATTACCTTGTCACCTAAAAGATCTCGCACATTTTTCGTTTTCAAGAAAAGTAAAACAATTTTTGCTAAAAATGAATTACGAAAAATATTAATTAGGCTATTGACTGCTGAAGTTTGTTTTTGTATTGTGTGTGTGTTGTATTTTTGTTGTCTGCAATAATTTTATTATTTTAATTTTACTATAGCTGGAGCTAACTAGAAAACTTTAGTTTACTTAGCTTCCAGTCACATTAACAAACATTTGATCCTCCTTCTCTTTGAATTAATATATATCTGGACTATCAAAATATCAATTGTAATTAACTAAATGAGGTGAATATGTCGTCGTCCGTTGTTTTCAGGACTTTTGTCCTGGATTCAGGTTTTGGCACATATGCCATGTTGACTGCCATGGTCATTTTACCCTAAAACAGTTGAGATTACATGTGCTAAATGAAGCACATACAAACTCATATACGGGTCCTAGATTAACAAATGTATTTATTAATATAGTTTTATTTACTGAAATGAATTGGCTAGGAGGATGGCGGCCTCGTCCCTTAATTCAGTTTAGAATAGAGATCAGTGTGAGAACAATGGGCGCACAGGGCTAATGGGAATGTAATGAAACGTGAAGCGACTCGGAAATTGCAAATTCAAGATGGCGTCTGTTGTAATGGCAGAGATATCAATGCAGTTTATATGCAGATAGGGAGGATTTTTCAAGGCTGTTACACAAGGCAGTTTTGGCAAATAAAGTTGTTTGCCTGGTGCCCCAGTGTAGTGGAGTATTGGATTAGCCATGGATTAGCACAGCATTATGACTAATACGAGAGACAGATGACAACATGACAGACCAAGACATTCCTTATTCAACCATGAAGTGTATGTATGGCAACGAGACGTTAAAGTATATTTCCTGTTTATTGAAGAAGAGTAGGAAGGTATGTTCATTTACATTTTACATTCAAAAATGTATCAGTTGTTGCAATTTAATATGTGTGCATATTTAGAAGTATCAATCTTAAATTATTTAAATGAACAGCTTCGAATTTTGACTGTTGTAGACATTGGCAAGTGGTTCTTGGTTCGATGTTTCTGGAGAAGGAAATGTTATTTCCATATTTGGCCAAGTTGCCAAAATATACCGATATATATGGAGTGTTTCTTTTGCACTCTGGCAAACTAAAGACAATCAAAATAATCAATCCCTGTCAGATCTCAGGTAATATTTTGTAAAATTAATTTCTATTAATCAATCATTTTATAGCTGTTGCACCATGTGCAAGTAGCAAGGTTAAAGATGCCATCTTGAACGTATTGTTTTTACCATTGTGTGTTGCATAATTTACATATAGGAAATTCCATTTCGTTTGCACCCCTTGCAGGAAGGGTCTATTGCCCAGTTTATTGCTTTCAGTGTTTGAGGCTTAACACCATACTGACTACTGAGTTGATTTCATTAATGCATTTTTCAAAACAAACTCTTGTGCACTTAGTATCAGTACCTTAAAAAAGGCCTGCTATACATAGTGATATCATACTTATCAGGCAAGCCCAGCTTTGGCAGAAAAATCCCCCTTGTTTGAACCTCTTTCAGCATACTCTTCTTATTAATTTCATTGGGGGAAAACATAAAAGCATAGGTGGGTGGGGCCTGGTCAGATACCAATTACATCATGTATCAAGGCCATTGAAATCTGAGCCTCACAGGGGTCTGTGACCTCCCCAATATTCCATTTGTATAAGCAAACCCACACAAAACAACTAGAAAATGTCAAAACAATTCAGATTTACTCTTGACCCCAACATTTATTTACTGTAGTAATATTGTAATCCTTTATTCACATGTGCCTACACTTTATATACTAACTGATTTACATAAATTATATATAATGAATTCCTAATACACTACATCTTCCCCTGGGAACAATTTCCAAAAATTATTCTACTTCCTATATATTCTATAATACTTTTTTTTTTTTAAAAAACATTATAGTATTAATAGATATAACTAGATAAAGTTCAATAATAGACAAAGTCCTTAGATCTTGTGGACTTTGATACACGTCCTGATCTCGTTCTTATTACAGTATCTTTTGCAGAATTATCTGTTTCTACCCCATTGTTAGATTTAGGTTTAACCTCTTTATTATCTAACATGTCATCGAATATTAATGCCCGTTCCGCAATCGGAGCACGAGTCAGAAACTTTACATTTCTAATATATGTTTTCCCGTCTAATGTATTAACTACCTTGCAAGTATCTGTTCCTACAAAGTCTATAATCACATACTTAATATTGTCAAATTTAGATTTGAGCTTACTATTACTATCACACTTACTCCTAGCAAGATACACCATATCACCAACCACAAACGAGTGCGCTTTTGCACGTTGTTTACGATCGTGATAAGACTTCATTTGCTTTTGATACGATTGTGCATCTCCCTCTACATTGCTTGAGCTCACATCAACATTCAACTCAATTGACGGAAGCTCTGTACGTATCTCCCTATGAAAAAGCAAACTTGCCGGAGTTTTTCCTGTCATGGGATGAGGAATACTCCTGTATTACATCAAAATTTTAGGGAGTTCCTCCTCCCAGGATCTACCCTCAAGAGTAACAGCTTGAAAATTCTTTTTGAAATACCTGTGAAACCGTTCGATTTTCCTGTTACTTCTTGGGAAATAAGGCGAACTACGTACATGCTTAATTCCTTTAGAGCTCAAGAAACGCCTAAATTCCTGACTGATAAATTGTGGTCCATTATCTGAGACAATTTCCTCAGGATAACCATGCCTAGCAAATATATTCATCAAAATTTTAACAATACTTTTTCTCGGGTAATGGCCACTTCAGGAAAAGAAGAGTAATAGTCGATATAGGTTACTAAGTACTTATTATCTATCGGACCTACGATATCAACCACACCTTTTAACCACAGCGCTTTGGGTAACTGCATCGGCTGCAAGGGTGTATTATTATTTAACGGTCTACTTGCAGCGCATGCTGGGCAGTCTTTAATCGTAGACTTGATATCCCTATCCATACCTATCCAAAAAAATGTTGACCTTAACAACTGCTTAGTTCGCACTATACCAACATGACTTTCATGAGCAAGTTTCAAAATCCGCTTCTTAAGAGAAGTTGGAACGACAATACGATTTCCACGCAATAAAATACCTTCGAAAACCGAAAACTCTTCCCGAAACTTTTCAAAAGGTTTAATATCAGCATCAGCTGGCCATGCACCCACATGAACCAAATTCATAATTTTAGTCAAAATTTTATCTTTTGTCGTTTCCTCTTTCACCTCTGATAACGACAACGCACAATTGTCAGGCACATCATTTTCAACCACAAATTTGACATACTCATCTGCAACGTTAACCGAACTAGTTTCATCTAATTCATTTAAAGGCAACCTTGAGAAAGAGTCGGCAATATTAATTTTACCTTCAATATGTTTTATCTTATACTTATATTGATGCAACCTCCACACCAAACGTTGAATTTGTGGGGGCAACATCTTTTTACAATCTAAGGAAAGCAAACTGACTAATGGTTTGTTGTCAGTGAGCAACGTAAATTCAGTACCAAAAACATAATTATGAAATCTTTCAGCCGTCCAAACACATGCCAGTGCCTCGCGTTCAATCTGCGAATATCGCGCTTCAGTAGGTGTCAGAGATCGACTTATATATGCGACAGGCTTTAGCTGACCTGTTGTTTGCTCCTGTAACAGAAC